AGCTGCGAGACAGACAGACGGGAACCAAAGCAGCTGCGAGACAGACAAACGGGAACCAAAGCAGCTGCGAGACAGACAGGTAAAGACAGGTGTGTCTCACCATGAGGGTGGAACCCAAAGATGTAGTTCTTCTTTGGATCTAGGTCGACAGTTTTAACGAGCTGCAGACACAAGAATCAATAATCAATCAATATTCAGATCCCGTGGATCTGAGCGGTGAACCTGAACGCACCGTCAGGGGAAAGTAGTTCCTGAAGTACTCCCACACCGTCCAGCTCCGGACCCACTGAGACCGCCGACCCCCGCTGGTGGGCGTGTCCCAGTCCAGCCACAGCCAACCAGCGTAGAGCAGGGCCACGACCCACCAATCAGAGAGTACCAGGAGGATGAAGGCAGCCAGACAGCACTGAGCTGAGAGACAGACAGGTGGGCGGGGTCAGAGGGAGACGGGTAAGACGTGAAACTGGTGTTCTAGTTTAAATATTGATGAAACAAACATTCAACCATCAGCGTTAAGTAAACCTGACATCAGATCTCCAACATGAGTTCAGAACATCCAGGACGGCTGACCCGGTTTATCAGAACCAACATCTGGACCCAGATCCAGAGCCTAGCTGAACCTGAAGCATCCACAGGTCGCGAACTGGTTTAAGAAGTCATTGAACGTCACACGGTTTGTTTTCTAACGGTACAACTCGCTGGGTCCAGCTTTGATTCCACCATTGTACTTTATTTTGAAAGGATCAGGAAGTGGAAACTCTGCTCGCAGGTGAGCTCAGCTTTACTAACAGGACCCCCCCCCGGTCCACTGGAGCCGGTAAAATGATGGAGTATAAAGACTGGAGGCTAACGGGGTTAGCAGCGGCACATGTCTCTGCACCTGAAGCCTCTGGCTGCAGGACTCCAGGTGGGTGGACCTGAATCCACCACAGGTCCAAACCGTGCGCACCGGGTCAGGTTTAAACAGAAACATGAAGCAGGAGATCAGAACGCTGATGTTGTTGTGAGGTTTCAATTAACGACACAGCACAGGTGTGCTGCAGGGAGGGGGCGGGGTCTAATATTTGAAGTAATTTCAGACAGGTGGTAAAGTGTGGAGGGTTCTGCAGAACCTCCTGAGGTGGTGCTTCACAGCTGCTCTTCTTCTGTGCTTTCATGGACAAACAGAACTAAGGTCCAGGTGGTTTTGAAGCTTCTCCTCTGTAGGTTCTCAGAGATTTTTTTTCCCCCATTTACCTTTATTTATCCAGGTTAGTCTCACTGAGCCACGAGAACTCATTTTCAAGAGAGACCTGTTTAGGAGCACATGGTGGGGGTTCAGGGCCTTGCTCATGGGCCCAGAGTGGGGCGAATGAGGGTGGAGGCAGGTGTAGGTGTTTCATCTACCCCACCCACAATTTTGATGTTCCCTGCAGATCCCTGCAGGTCCAAACCCGTACACAGCAGCAGAACCTCTGGCTCTGAGGTGTTCAGGTTCTGGTGGTTAGAACTTCGTCTGGACCCAGATCTTAATCATCTTTCTGATTTCTGTAAATTATAAAATGTCAAAGTTCAACTTCAGCAGATTGTTTGAAGTTTTCATGAAACTGATACGAGCTGCTGGTTCTTCATGCACTGAGTGTCAGGTCTGACCCTGATCTGACAGGTGAACACACACAGACACACACAGACAGGTGAACACACACACAGACACACACACACAGGTGAACACACACACAGACAGGTGAACACACACACAGACACACACAGACAGGTGAACACACACACAGACACACACAGACAGGTGAACACACACACAGACACAGACAGACAGGTGAACACACACACAGACAGACAGACAGGTAAACACACACACAGACAGACAGGTGAACACACACACAGACAGACAGGTGAACACACACACAGACAGAAAGGTGAACACACACACAGACAGACAGGTAAACACAGACAGACAGACAGGTAAACACACACACAGACAGACAGACAGGCGAACACACACACACACACAGAGACAGACAGACAGGTACCCATGGCCAGGAAGGAGAAGACCCACTGCAGCACGGCGGCGGTCTGCAGCCTCCTCCTCAGCGGGATGTTCAGCGGAGCGAACTCGATCTTCATGCCGGAGGTGGAGCTCCTGAGAGCGGCTTGAGGCGCAGCGAGGTCCCGGTGCCTCCCGAGCTGTTTGTTTGTTTGTTTGTTTGTTGAACAAACTCTGAAGACTTCCTTCTTCTCCTGGACGGGAACACTCTGAACAAACTTTTCAAGCTCCTTTTGCTGCCTCTGCGCATGCGCACAGCTGTGCCCTGGGCGGCTTCCTGTTGGCCAATCACAGCTGTGGCGAATGAAGTGTGTCGGGAGCGCGCCTGGGCGTGCACGTCACGATGATTTACGGAGACATCAGCAGAGGAAACAAACGGTGGAGTTCTGGTGTCGGTTCGGAGGTGACCTGGACCAGACTGGACTTCCTTCAACAACAATCAATAACTCAATAAGACGCTGCTTCTTTATTGATGTGTCCCGGAGACAAAGTCCCCGAGGACAGGACAGGCATTGTCCTCTCTGTCCTATCAATAAATCAAAGTCAACAGTGTAAACAATCAACAAGAACTGGACCGAACCGAACAGGAAGAAAGAGAGTCCAAGATCCAACAGAGCTCCTCAGGACCAGCATCTCCATTGATCCGACTCCTCTGATGGCTGATCAATCCGTCTGATCAGTTTATGATCGATCTTTGATTATTGATCCAATCGGACTTTGGATCAGAGGAAACCTCAGAGAAGGGCGTGATGGATGAGGAGGACTCTGGTTCTGGTCCAGGTTCTGATCACTCCTGCTCTGAACCTCCTCACAACAACCTGTTTATTTTGATGACGTCATGTTTCCATCTCCAGGAGCCAGCAGCTCTGCCACAAACTGCAGAACACATCTCAGATGTTCTGATCAGACCTTCTAAACATCTGGGAGTTTCAAGAGCTCAGCTGGCTGGTCCTCTCTGGGTTTTATTTTGAAAATAACCACCAACAAAAAAACATGGAGACACAGAAAGTCTTTTATTTTTGTAGTGTTTTTAACTCTGTGCACCTTCTGACTGTCAGAGACAGATCTGTAAATATTATCTGAGGAAAACATGACTCAGAAAAGCAGCTCCGTGATTTAACCTGAGTAACAGCTGGAGATAAACAGCTGTAATGAGCTAAACAAACAACTAAAACTAGTTACAATCTAACAGCTAAACAATACCCATCAGCAAAACAGCAGCTAAAAGATGAAATGAGCAGAAGACAAAATCCAACAATGACCTAGTGTTCTGCTGACTCAGCGTTTTGTTACACAGTATTTCGTTACCCTCACTCAGCATTTTGTTATCGACTCTGCGTTTCATTACTCGACTCAGCGTTTCATTACTCGACTCAGCGTTTCATTACCTGACTCAGCGTTTTATTACCTGAATCATCGTTTCATTACCTGACTCAGCGTTTTATTACCTGAATCATCGTTTCA